TTTTTTTAGAAAATTTTTTTTTCTAAACATTTTTTATTGAAAATAAATAACATTTTGAAAAATTAAAAAAAAGGTATTTAGGGGGGATTCTTTTAAGCAAATCCCTAAATCTGTTTAGATGTTAAAATTTTTATGAATTTTCTTCATGTTTATCAAAATATAGCGTTTTGAAAATATATTTAGAAAAACATTTTTTTGAAAAAAATGTTTTAGAACTTTTTTTTGAAAAATTTGTTAGAATTTTTTTGCATGTTTGTCATCAAATTAGGGTATTTAGGGAACAGTTTTTGAAATGTATTCTTATTAAAGATTTGTCAATATAACCGTTTTCATAAAGTTTTCTGTTAAAATTTTAGGAAATTTTTTTTTGGTAAAATCCAAATTTCCCGTGCCATGTGGTCAGATGGTAAAAAACTTTGATGAACATTTTTAGAAAGAAAATTCTTTGGTAAAATCCAAATTGTGTGGGTTATGTGGTCAGATGGTGAAAATATTTTATGAAAATCTTTGGATAAAAAATGTCAAAGTTTTATCTTTTCTGCATGTTTCTTATGAGAGCATTTTGGAGTCTGCAATGAGAAATGTGCAGAATTTAGAAATTTTATTTTCTTAAGATTTTCATCAAAATTTTCCACCATCTGACCAAATGTCACACAACTGGGTTTTACAAAAAAAATGTCCAATTTTTTTTTAAATTTTGCAGTAAAATCATAATTTTGGATGCTATGTTGGTCAGATGGTTATAAAGATAACATTTTTCTTTATAATAATAATAATGTATTTTTATTATTATTATGAAAAAAATCTAAATGTTATCCTTTTTGTTTCACATCTAATTAGAGAATTTTAAGGATTTTTTTTACAAGAAAACATTTTGGAATTTTTTGGGAAAATCCTATTTCCACATATTTTTTCACTAGTTGGAAGCAGCACATTCTGTACAGTGGTTTGTACATATATATTGTACAAACATATTGTATGTACATGTACATACAAGAAAATACATCTGGTTCTCAATAGAATTTCAATTAAGGGGGGACTGGCATTAAAAAAAAAATCTGTCCCCTGCAGGGGGATGACAGAAATTAATTGAGAACCACAGCAGTAAGGAAATCATACAATGTCCAAGCACTGTACGATTGCCTAGAGCAATAGAGTAGCAGATTGTCAGACATGTGGCCGCACTCTAGCCACGTCACCCTTGTTATCTCGGTTATGAACCCAGTAACCATGACAACGATCACAGCCTCGCACAGTCAATGAATCCAGACGTTGGCGCAGGCTCACTATTTTTATGATCGTTCACAAGAACAAGAAAGTCACTGCAGCCGTGGACGCCATGAAAATATGAAAGCGAGTAGACCAGCAATTCAAGTTTGCCGCAAGGTAAAATGGCGCACATATTCTTAATGCCGCAAGGTAAAATGGCGCACATATTTCTACAGCATACATTTAAACGGATGTGATTTTTTTTTAGGTTTGAATCTCTGCAGGTGACTAAATTGCTGTGTTTAATAGTAACATGATAGTAATAGTAAAGTTAATAGTGATTTTACTGCCTCCTTGGCTTTTGTCATGACATGATGATGATGATGACAATGTCACTGAAGGCAATGTTCTTAAATGACATCTTCAGTAAGTGAAGTAGAAGATCCAATCCTTAAATTAACAATATATAATTTATTTACAACAATTTCAGGTTGAATTACTATACATACCTTTCTGAAGTATCATAGATAGATATATATACATAAGGCCAAGTAAATACTTGAAAGCACTTAGAAACGAATTTCCAAAATTCTACCCACAAATCCATTATCATTGTCCAAAAAAGTACAGAAAAACCACCCTCGGCGGGACACTTCCATTGCCACAAAAGTTTTGACAACAATGTACACCAACGATAGAGAACACAAAGGTTAGAAAAGGGAAAAAACAAACAAAAAACAATTAAAGGATTATACAATTGCATAAGCGCTCCGGCGTGTAATAAATACAGCATTTTTGACTCGCAGAAAGGCAAGAAACATTGAATAAAACAATAAAGTAAAAAAATAAAGTAAAAAAATAAAATAAAATCCACAAGTACAAACGTCTAATGAAAACAGTTGGTTCAGAGCGACAGGGAGATATTACCACAATCACACACCCGCCTGCACGCGCGCACACACACACACCCTTGACACAGAATAATAATTAGTGACAAAGTACAGTTGTGAGATGTAACCACTTCCTGACAATACAAGAGTGAAAATATAAACAGCAGAACAAAGGCGTGTGATACACAGAACCATCAGATCCAGACTTCACTGTAAAAAGAACACGATTCATCTGTCACACACACTCTCTCTCTCTCTCTCACACACACACACACACACACACTCTCTCGCTCTCTCTCTGGTTCTGCTGCAGAGATAGATGCTGAACGTCCTAGTGGCTGGTGAGTTACATTACTGAAATGTGCTTAGACGACACGTCCGAGACAACTGATAAAATGTCACACACGGTCAGACTGTACAACTGCCACGGCTCGTCTGAACATGCTGTGTCAACACCGGCCTGTCAATGTGTCCACGGCTGATTATGTCCAGTCAGTCGTCTCAAAGCACGGTCCTGGTGTGGAGACTTCTTAAAGCATGAGTGACTGTTTCCTCCACGTCTTACATCAACGGAAACAACAGCAACTGACAAATGCAATGTAAGGACCAACCAAATATTTATAGAAACTCCGGTAAAACAGTCTCTAAAACCCTTAACACTGCAAAAAGTCTCCACTGCTAGATCGCCAAAGAACTGTATATAGGCAAACACGTCACGGTTTAGACTTGACAAATGCTGCGCCAGTTAAGTGACTTTTTTTTGGCTTCATATTAAAATATATTTTACATTTCTTTACAAAGTGGTAAAATAAACGGACACGTCATCGTCTCCTCGAACAAACTGCCTCGAGACAGGAACAAAGAAATTACATCTAAAAAAAAAGATATGCACTCAAAAGTCCAGAGTGGAAGAAGAAACAAAAACAGACAAAACCAACTCTGACTTCAACTGAATCAACAGTGAATCAAATCAAACTGGAATGAAAACGACAGCAGGACGTAACGCATATGAACGACGCTCGTAAAACTTTGGTTAACGATTCCGCTCTTATACTACAGTATGCAAAGTGACAGCTCACGGCTGGAGTAGAAAAAGTATTTACATATCACGTGTGGCG